AACGTAGAAAATAAATTAAATTAAATGATAATTGAGAGTACGACGTTTCGATTGCGACACATGCAATCGTCATCAGGTAAGAATGAATGAGAAAATAAACTTGGTATACTTAGAAATATAACGAGATACAACACAGAGAGTCGGACAACACAACAGTCAACACGACACCCGGTTGATTACGTTCTTCCAAAGATTGCTAGATTTGAGAGAGACAAAACACAGACACGGAGACACACAGAGACACACACATAGAGAGACACATAAGCAGAGATAGACACACAGAGACAAACAGAGAGAGAGACACAACATGGACACACAGACAGACACACAAGCAGAGAGACACACAGAGACAAACAGAGAGAGAGACACAACATAGACACACAGACAGACACACAAGCAGAGAGTGACTCACACAGAGACAAACAGAGAGAGAGACACAACATAGACACACAGACAGACACACAAGCAGAGAGAGACTCACAGAGACAAAGAGAGACTCACACATAGACACACAGACAGACACAAGCAGAGAGACTCACACAGACACACAGACAGACACACGAGCAGAGAGACAACACAGAGACACAGAGAGAGACACACACATAGACACACAGATAGACTTACAAGCAGAGAGAGACTCACACATAAGACACACAGACAGACACACAAGCAGAGAGAGACACACACAGACAAACAGAGACACAGAGAGAGAGACACACAGAGACACACAGATAGTCACACAAGCAGAGAGAGACTCACACATAGACACACAGACACACAAGCAGAGAGAGACACACGGAGACAAACCGAGACACAGAGAGAGACACAGAGAGAGACACACACATAGACACAGACAGACACACAAGCAGAGAGAGACTTACACATAGACACACAGAGAGAGACACAAGCAGAGAGAGACACAAACACACAGAGACACAGACAGACACAAGCAGAGAGAGACTCACACATAGACACAGAGAGAGACACACAACATAGACACACAGATAGACACACAAGCAGAGAGAGACGCACACAGAGACAAACAGAGACACAGAGAGAGACACACAAGCAGAGAGAGACAGACACACACAGACACACAGACAGACACAAGCAGAGAGACTCACACAGAGACAGAGAGAGAGAGACACAGAGAGAGACATACAACATAGACACAGACAGACACACAAGCAGAGAGAGACACACAGAGACACAGACAGACCCACAAGCAGAGAGAGACACACAGTCACAGACAGACCCACAAGCAGAGAGAGACACACACATAGACACAGACAGACAAACTGAGAAAGAGCCACACATAGACAAAGACAGACACGCAAGCAGAGAGACACACACATAGACACACAGGCACACAACCTAGACACAGACAGACACACCAGCAGAGACTCACACAGAAACAGAGAGACAACACAGAGACACAGAGAGAGAGAGAGACACACACATAGGCACACAGAGAAATTAGAGTGATGTTAATGTGAGACATTAGAGTGATGTTAATGTGAGACATTAGCGTGGCGTTAACGTGAGACATTAGCGTGATGTTAACGTGAGAAATTAGCGTGATGTTAATGTGAGACATTAGCTCTAGACCAATTCCTCGACCACATCAATTCCATACACCCAGCCATCAGATTTACCATGGAAGTCGAAAAAGATGGCAAGCTACCCTTTTTGGATGTCCTAATTAAAAGGAGACCTGATGGCTCAATGAGCCACTCTGTCTACAGGAAAGCTACCCATACGGATGCTTACTTGAAACCGGATTCCCACCACCATCCATCCCAGAAGAACTCCCTCATCAAGACTCTGCACCATAGAGCCCAATGCATTTCCGACCAGGAACACATTGCCAGTGAACTCAAGCACGTACACCGAGCTCTCAGGGCTAATGGTTACTCCGACTACACAATCCGCAAAGCCATCACTCCAGTCATGAAGAAGGATCCTCTTGAGGAGCCATTAAAAACCATCACCTTACCCTACATTGTGGGGGTCACTAAAAAGGTCTCCCAAAATCCTGAATAAACACAAGATCCAGGTACGATTCAACACATTACATAAAATCCGTGATCTGGTTCCGTCTGTGAAAGATGTGGTTCTGGACATACAGTACCCGGGCGTTTACAAACTAAAGTGCCTCTGTGGTAGCAGCTACATTGGAGAAACCAAACGCCATGTCTCGGACCGCATCCGTGAACACAAAGCAGACTTGAAACACGGTAGGTACCAACACCTCGGCCGTGGCAGATCATTGTTATAATTCAGTGGGCTCACATGACATTGACTTCTCCAAGACGGAGGTTCTTTGCAAGCCATCCGGCTACCATGACAGATTCGTTCATGAGGCCATCCACGTATACAAACACAGAGACAATTTCAACCGAGAAGATGGATTCTGGCTTAGTAACCATTGGAAAGACGTTTTAAACCATTTCGGTTCTTAATTTATTGTATTTTACGGTGACTTTCAGACCGCAGTCCAATCGCAGGCACTGCCCCTGAATACCTTTCACACCATGGTCAATGATATGGCTTATAACACGTAGTATAATAATAAATAGTATAACATTGTAATGTTTAACATAATTCACAAGGGAATATATAATATCGTAATTGTGTAGTGAATATACAGCAGTGTGGTGCACAGTAGGGTTGATAGAATAAGACGTAGCGTAATATTACAATTCTAATATTTTATAGTCTAAATTATAGGGTAGTGTATAGCAACGCATTGCATAATTCAAAGGTGGAATGTGTCTATGGATACGATATTATACCATGTAGTTTAGGATTGGAAGGTATAATATTGTATTGTAAAGTGGTCCCGTTTATGGCATAGTTGTAACGCAACACAGGACTGAGAAGCTCACTGTGTTTAAGTGTTTGATCAGCACTTTATGCTAATTCCTTTGTCAAAGCGTTTGGTTTCCTCCCGCACAGCTTAAAGGACGCGAACCTGCGCCTGACTTTCTTGATTCCAACGCTGTCCTGGTGACAGCGCGGTCCCCCTTCACCTGTGATGAAGGCCGCTTGTGTTGTGGCCGAAACGTCGTGATTTTTACATATCTTAGCTCTTTCGCTAAAGTCACGTAGAAGGGAAACAATAAAATAATAATCACGTAGAAGGGAAATAATAAAATAATAATCACGTAGCAGGGAAACAATAAAATAATAATCACGTAGAAGGGAAACAATAAAATAATAATCACGTAGCAGGGAAACAATAAAATAATACTCACGTAGAAGGGAAATAATAAAATAATAATCACGTAGAAGGGAAACAATAAAATAATAATCACGTAGAAGGGAAACAATTAAATAATAATCACGTAGAAGGGAAACAATAAAATAATAATGACGTAGCAGGGAAACAATAAAATAATAATGACGTAGCAGGGAAACAATGAAATAATAATGACGTGGAAGGGAAACAATAAAATAAAAATCACGTAGAAGGGAAACAATAAAATAATAATCACGTAGAAGGGAAACAATAAAATAATAATGACGTAGCAGGGAAACAATAAAATAATAATGACGTAGAAGGGAAACAATAAAATAAAAATCACGTAGAAGGGAAACAATAAAATAATAATCACGTAGAAGGGAAACAATAAAATAATAATCACGTAGAAGGGAAACAATAAAATAATAATGACGTAGCAGGGAAACAATAAAATAATAATCATCACGTAGAAGGGAAACAATAAAATAATAATCACGTAGAAGGGAAACAATAAAATAATAATCACGTAGAGGGGAAACAATAAAATAATAATCACGTAGCAGGGAAACAATAAAATAATAATCACGTAGCAGGGAAACAATAAAATAATAATCATCACGTAGAAGGGAAACAATAAAATAATAATCACGTAGCAGGGAAACAATAAAATAATAATCACGTAGAAGGGAAACAATAAAATAATAATCACGTAGAAGGGAAACAATAAAATAATAATCACGTAGAAGGGAAACAATAAAATAATAATCACGTAGCAGGGAAACAATAAAATAATAATCACGTAGAAGGGAAACAATAAAATAATAATCACATAGAAGGGAAACAATAAAATAATAATCATCACGTAGAAGGGAAACAAAGAAATAATAATCATCGTAGAAGGGAAACAATAAAATAATAATCACGTAGAAGGCAAACAATAAAATAATAATCATCACGTAGAAGGGAAACAATAAAATAATAATCACGTAGAAGGGAAACAATTAAGTAATAATCATCATTAGGTGTGAAAACCACGGCAGTCGAAACGTCGTGAGAATTTTATTGTTTCATATTTTTTTTATTATTTTATTGTTTCCCTTCCACGTGACTTTGCCGAAAGAACCAATAAAATTGTCTGGCTGTGGTTTTCACACAACAGCAACACCACAGCAAGTCACGTAGAAGGGAAACAATAAAATAATAATAAAATAAAACACTCAAATTCTCACGACGTTTCGACTGCAACACCAAGCAATCATCATCAGGTGTGAAAACCACAGCAAGAAAATTTGAAAAAAGTGGCGGTTAGTTTTTAAACGTTAGCACCACGGAGAGCGATTTTGCAGTTTGTTCAGGTGGACGAGCCCATCTATGTTCGGGAAAGAGGAGGGGGGGAGACGGAAATAATGGATGCGGGCTGAAAGCCACCGTAAGCGTGAACAATCAATTAAGACCCGAAATGGTTGATCACATCCTTCCAATGATTGCTAAGCCAGAATCCATCTTCTCGGTTGAAATTGTCTCTCTGTGTTTATGTATGTGGATAGCCTCATGAACGAATCTCTCATGGTAGCTGGATGTCTTGCAGAGAACCTCTGTCTTGGAGAAGTCAATGTCACGTGAGCCTACTGAATTATAACAGTGATCTGCCACGCCGAGGTGTTGGTACCTACCGTGTTTAAGGTCTGCTTTGTGTTCACGAATGCGGTCCGAGACATGTCGTTTGGTTTCTCCAATGTAACTACTACCCCAGAGGCAACTTAGTTTGTAGACACCAGGGTACTGTATGTCCGGAATCACATCTTTTACAGATGGAACCAGATCACGGATTTCATGTAATGCGTTGAATCAGACCTGGATCTTGTGTTTATGCAAGATTTTGTAGATCTTTTTTGCGATCCCTGTTTTATATTTTTTTATTATTTTATTGTTTCCCTTCTACGTGGTGGTGACTTTACCGAAAGAACCAAGAATATGAATCCCTGCAGTCACGAAAGCTTTAAATAAAGAAAAGTTAATTGTGAAAACTTTCCGCTAAACATATGTTAATATATGCTAATTTATGCGCGCCCCGAACCTTCCCCCCGCCCCCTCGTGTGACGCCACGCGCGAGACAGGAAGTGGGGGGCGGGGCGGCAGGAAGCGATGGCGGACGAGAAGGTCAGCGCGGTCGTGACGGAGACGACGATCCGGGGGAGATTTGTCTGTGTGGGGTGTGTAAGTGTGGGGTGTGTGTCTGTGTGTGTGTAGGTGTGTGTGTGTGGGGTGTGTGTGTGTAGGTGTGTGTGTAGGTGTGTGTAGGTGTATGTGTCTGTGTGGGGTGTGTAGGTGTGGGGTGTGTGTAGGTGTGTGTAGGTGTGTGTCTGTGTGGGGTGTGTGTGTGTAGGTGTGTAGGTGTGTCTGTGTGGGGTGTGTGTGTGTGGGGTGTGTGTAAGTGTGTGTAGGTGTGTGTCTGTGTGGGGTGTGTAGGTGTGGGGTGTGTAGGTGTGTAGGTGTGGGGTGTGTAGGTGTGGGTGTGTGTAGGTGTGTGTAGGTGTGTCTGTGTGTAGGTGTGTGTCTGTGTGGGTTGTGTAGGTGTATGTGTCTGTGTGGGGTGTGTAGGTGTGGGGTGTGTGTGGGGTGTGTAGGTGTGGGGTGTGTGTAGGTTTGTGTGTGTAGGTGTGTCTGTGTGTAGGTGTGTGTCTGTGTGGGGTGTGTAGGTGTGGGGTGTGTGTAGGTGTGTGTGTGTGTAGGTGTGTGTGTGTAGGTGTGTCTGTGTGTAGGTGTGTGTGTGTGTAGGTGTGTGTGTGTAGGTGTGTGTCTGTGTGGGGTGTGTAGGTGTGGGGTGTGTGTAGGTGTGTGTCTGTGTGTTGGTGTGTGTCTGTGTGGGTTGTGTAGGTGTATGTGTCTGTGTGGGGTGTGTAGGTGTGGGGTGTGTGTGGGGTGTGTAGGTGTGGGGTGAGTGTAGGTTTGTGTGTGTAGGTGTGTCTGTGTGTAGGTGTGTGTCTGTGTGGGGTGTGTAGGTGTGGGGTGTGTGTAGGTGTGTGTGTGTGTAGGTGTGTGTGTGTAGGTGTGTCTGTGTGTAGGTGTGTGTGTGTGTAGGTGTGTGTGTGTAGGTGTGTGTCTGTGTGGGGTGTGTAGGTGTGGGGTGTGTGTAGGTGTGTGTCTGTGTGTTGGTGTGTGTCTGTGTGGGTTGTGTAGGTGTATGTGTCTGTGTGGGGTGTGTAGGTGTGGGGTGTGTGTGGGGTGTGTAGGTGTGGGGTGAGTGTAGGTTTGTGTGTGTAGGTGTGTCTGTGTGTAGGTGTGTGTCTGTGTGGGGTGTGTAGGTGTGGGGTGTGTGTAGGTGTGTGTAGGTGTGTGTGTGGTGGTGTGGGGTGTGTGTAGGTGTGTGTGGGGTGTGTGTAGGTGTGTGTGGGGTGTGTGTGTGTGCTGTGTAGTTGTGGGGTGTGTGTAGGTGTGTGTGTGTAGGTGTGTGTAGGTGTGTCTGTGTGTAGGTGTGTGTCTGTGTGGGGTGTGTAGGTGTGGGGTGTGTGTAGGTGTGTCTGTGTGTAGGTGTGTGTCTGTGTGGGGTGTGTAGGTGTGGGGTGTGTGTAGGTGTGTGTAGGTGTGTGTGTAGGTGTGTCTGTGTGGGGTGTGTGTGTGTGGGGTGTGTGTAGGTGTGTGTAGGTGTGTGTCTGTGTGGGGTGTGTAGGTGTGGGGTGTGTAGGTGTGGGTGTGTGTAGGTGTGTGTAGGTGTGTCTGTGTGTAGGTGTGTGTCTGTGTGGGTTGTGTAGGTGTATGTGTCTGTGTGGGGTGTGTAGGTGTGGGGTGTGTAGGTGTGGGGTGTGTGTAGGTGTGTGTGTGTAGGTGTGTGTGTGTGGTGTGGGGTGTGTGTAGGTGTGTGTGGGGTGTGTGTGTGTGCTGTGTAGTTGTGGGGTGTGTGTAGGTGTGTGTCTGTGTGGGGTGTGTGTGTGTAGGTGCTGTGTGTGTGCTGTGTGTGTAGGTGCTGTGTGTGTGTAGGTGCTGTGTGTACAGTGTGTGTGTGTGCTGTGTGTGTGCTGTGTGTGTGTGTACAGTGTGTGTGCTGTGTGTGTGTACAGTGTGTGCGCTGTGTGTGTGTGCTGTGTGTGTGTGCCGAGTGTAGTCAGTGTACAGTACGTTTTTTGCGGTGCGCGCGGTTACAGTGCGTGTACAGTGAGCGCCACGCGGCGCCACGCGGCGAGTACAGTCCTTGTACAGTGAGCGTACAGTGCTGTGCCATGCGTCGACTTACAGTGCGTGTACAGTGTCATACAGTGAAAACCGTTGCGGCTTCGAGTGTACAGTCCGCTCGACGTGTTTGTACAGTGCGCGCGGGTACAGTGCGTGTACAGTGCGTGTACAGTGCGCCGTGCCCCCGCAGGATTCCCTGCGGAAGCTTCGAGACCTCGCGGAGCTGAAGGAGCGGCTGAGGGGGCTGCAGCAGCAGCTGGAGGAGAGCGGAGGGGCAGCTGCGGTGAGAGCTGCAGGAGCTGCCCATAGACTCAACACTGCACCATAGACTCAACACTGCACCATAGACTCAACACTGCACCATAGACTCAACACTGCACCATAGACTCAACACTGCACCATAGACTCAACACTGCCCATAGACTCAACACTGCACCATAGACTCAACACTGCCCATAGACTCAACACTGCACCATAGACTCAACACTGCACCATAGACTCAACACTGCCCATAGACTCAACACTGCTACCCATAGACTCAACACTGCACCATAGACTCAACACTGCACCATAGACTCAACACTGCACCATAGACTCAGCACTGCCCATAGACTCAACACTGCACCATAGACTCAACACTGCACCATAGACTCAACACTGCACCATAGACTCAACACTGCACCATAGACTCAGCACTGCCCATAGACTCAACACTGCACCATAGACTCAACACTGCACCATAGACTCAACACTGCACCATAGACTCAACACTGCACCATAGACTCAACACTGCACCATAGACTCAACACTGCACCATAGACTCCACACTGCACCATAGACTCAACACTGCACCATAGACTCAACACTGCCCATAGACTCAACACTGCTACACCATAGACTCAACACTGCTACACCATAGACTCAACACTGCCCATAGACTCAACACTACCCATAGACTCAACACTGCACCATAGACTCAACATTGCACCATATACTCAACACTGCCCATAGACTCAACACTGCCCATAGACTCAACACTGCCCATAGACTCAGTACTGCACCATAGACTCAACACTGCCCATAGACTCAACACTGCACCATAGACTCAACACTGCCCATTGACTCAGCACTGCCCATAGACTCAACACTGCTACACCATAGACTCAACACTGCCCATAGACTCAACACTGCACCATAGACTCAACACTGCACCATAGACTCAACACTACCCATAGACTCAACACTGCACCATAGACTCAACACTGCACCATAGACTCAACACTGCCCATAGACTCAACACTGCACCATAGACTCAACACTGCTACACCATAGACTCAACACTGCCCATAGACTCAACACTGCCCCATAGACTCAACACTGCACCATAGACTCAACACTACCCATAGACTCAACACTGCACCATAGACTCAACACTGCACCATAGACTCAACACTGCCCCATAGACTCAACACTGCACCATAGACTCAACACTGCACCATAGACTCAACACTGCCCCATAGACTCAACACTGCACCATAGACTCAACACTGCACCATAGACTCAACACTGCCCATAGGCTCAACACTGCCCATAGACTCAACACTGCTACACCATAGACTCAACACTGCACCATAGACTCAACACTGCACCATAGACTCAACACTGCACCATAGACTCAACACTGCCCATAGACTCAACACTGCACCATAGACTCAACACTGCCCATAGACTCAACACTGCCCATAGACTCAACACTGCCCCATAGACTCAACACTGCACCATAGACTCAACACTGCACCATAGACTCAACACTGCCCATATACTCAACACTGCCTATAGACTCAACACTGCACCATAGACTCAACACTGCCAGTAGACTCAACACTGCACCATAGACTCAACACTGCACCATAGACTCAACACTGCCCATAGACTCAGCACTGCCCATAGACTCAACACTGCACCATTGACTCAACACTGCCCATAGACTCAACACTGCACCATAGACTCAACACTACCCATAGACTCAACACTGCACCATAGACTCAACACTGCACCATAGACTCAACACTGCCCCATAGACTCAACACTGCACCATAGACTCAACACTGCACCATAGACTCAACACTGCACCATAGACTCAACACTGCCCATAGACTCAACACTGCACCATAGACTCAACACTGCACCATAGACTCAACACTGCCCCATAGACTCAACACTGCACCATAGACTCAACACTGCTACCATAGACTCAACACTGCACCATAGACTCAACACTGCACCATAGACTCAACACTGCCCATAGACTCAACACTGCACCATAGACTCAGCACTGCACCATAGACTCAACACTGCACCATAGACTCAACACTGCACCATAGACTCAACACTGCACCATAGACTCAACACTGCACCATAGACTCAACACTGCCCATAGACTCAACACTGCACCATAGACTCAACACTGCCCATAGACTCAACACTGCCCATAGGCTCAACACTGCCCATAGACTCAACACTGCACCATAGACTCAACACTGCCCATGGACTCAACACTGCACCATAGACTCAACACCTGCCCATAGACTCAACACTGCCCATAGACTCAACACTGCCAGTAGACTCAGCACTGGCCCATAGACTCAACACTGCACCATAGACTCAGCACTGCCCATAGACTCAGCACTGCACCATAGACTCAACACTGCACCATAGACTCAGCACTGCCCATAGACTCAACACTGCCCATAGACTCAACACTGCCCATAGACTCAGCACTGCACCATAGACTCAACACTGCCCATAGACTCAACACTGTACCATAGACTCAACACTGCACCATAGACTCAGCACTGCCCATAGACTCAGCACTGCACCATAGACTCAACACTGCACCATAGACTCAGCACTGCCCATAGACTCAACACTGCCCATAGACTCAACACTGCCCATAGACTCAGCACTGCACCATAGACTCAACACTGCACCATAGACTCAACACTGCCCATAGACTCAACACTGCCCATAGACTCAACACTGCCCATAGACTCAGCACTGCTACACCATAGACTCAACACTGCCCATAGACTCAGCACTGCACCATAGACTCAACACTGCACCATAGACTCAACACTGCACCATAGACTCAACACTGCACCATAGACTCAACACTGCACCATAGACTCAGCACTGCTACACCATAGACTCAACACTGCACCATAGACTCAGCACTGCTACACCATAGACTCAACACTGCTACACCATAGACTCAGCACTGCCCATAGACTCAACACTGCACCATAGACTCAACACTGCCCATAGACTCAACACTGCACCATAGACTCAACACTGCCCATAGACTCAACACTGCCCATAGACTCAACACTGCACCATAGACTCAACACTGCCCATAGACTCAACACTGCACCATAGACTCAACACTGCCCATAGACTCAACACTGCCCATAGACTCAACACTGCCCATAGACTCAACACTGCCCATAGACTCAACACTGCCCATAGACTCAGCACTGCTACACCATAGACTCAACACTGCCCATAGACTCAACACTGCCCATAGACTCAACACTGCTGCCCATAGACTCAACACTGCACCATAGACTCAACACTGCACCACAGACTCAACACTGCACCATAGACTCAGCACTGCCCCATAGACTCAACACTGCACCATAGACTCAGCACTGCACCATAGACTCAGCACTGCCCCATAGACTCAACACTGCACCATAGACTCAGCACTGCACCATAGACTCAGCACTGCCCCATAGACTCAACACTGCACCATAGACTCAGCACTGCACCATAGACTCAGCACTGCCCCATAGACTCAACACTGCACCATAGACTCAACACTGCACCATAGACTCAACACTGCACCATAGACTCAACACTGCCCATAGACTCAACACTGCACCATAGACTCAACACTGCACCATAGACTCAACACTGCACCATAGACTCAACACTGCTACACCATAGACTCAACACTGCACCATAGACTCAACACTGCACCATAGACTCAACACTGCACCATAGACTCAACACTACCCATAGACTCAGCACTGCCCATAGACTCATCACTGCACCATAGACTCATCACTGCACCATAGACTCAACACTGCTACACCATGGACTCAGCACTGCACCATAGACTCAACACTGCACCATAGACTCAGCACTGCACCATAGACTCAACACTGCTGCCCAAGACTCAGCACTGCTACACCACAGACTCAGAACTGCACCATAGACTCAGCACTGCTACACCATAGACTCAACACTGCACCATAGACTCAACACTGCACCATAGACTCAACACTGCACCATAGACTCAACACTGCCCATAGACTCAACACTGCACCATAGACTCAACACTACCCATAGACTCAACACTGCACCATAGACTCAACACTGCCCCATAGACTCAACACTGCCCATAGACTCAACACTGCACCATAGACTCAACACTGCACCATAGACTCAACACTGCACCATAGACTCAACACTGCACCATAGACTAAACACTGCACCATATACTCAACACTGCACCATAGACTCAACACTGCTACACCATAGACTCAACACTGCACCATAGACTCAACACTGGACCATAGACTCAACACTGCACCATAGACTCAACACTGCACCATAGACTCAACACTGCACCATAGACGCAACACTGCACCATAGACTCAGCACTGCACCATAGACTCAACACTGCACCATAGACTCAACACTGCACCATAGACTCAACACTGCACCATAGACTCAACACTGCCCATAGACTCAACACTGCCCATAGACTCAGCACTGCTACACCATAGACTCAACACTGCTACACCATAGACTCAACACTGCCCATAGACTCAACACTGCTACACCATAGACTCAACACTGCTGCACCATAGACTCAATACTGCCCATAGACTCAACACTGCACCATAGACTCAGCACAGCTACACCATAGACTCAACACTGCACCATAGACTCAACACTGCACCATAGACTCAACACTGCACCATAGACTTAACACTGCCCATAGACTCAACACTGCTGCCCATAGACTCAACACTGCCCATAGACTCAACACTGCACCATAGACTCAACACTGCACCATAGACTCAACACTGCACCATAGACTCAACACTGCCCATAGACTCAACACTGCACCATAGACTCAACACTGCCCATAGACTCAACACTGCTGCACCATAGACTCAACACTGCCCATAGACTCAGCACTGCACCATAGACTCA